ATATATTCAAATATATTCAAGCAGGCTTAGTTAAATAATTTAGACGTATGGTAGCTATTTATTTGACTCCTTTCGAATTCTCGGTTCAATTTCTTAATGTTGATATTAAATTCATTAAGGAAGGTGCCGTAGTTGTTTTCATTTCTTTCATCATCTTCAGGGGCGAATGGCCGAGACAAAAAATTTAATATAATTGATAGTTGTGATTTTTTGTAAATGCGCATGAAACGCAGTCTGTTAGAATTAATTTAAAAATTAACTCTTATACCTATTGTGTTTTGTAAAGTTTTATCTAAAGAGGTAACTTTAATTTATCGAACTAATTTTTTTAAAAATACAATTTAAGTATTTTTAAAAAATTGCTGTTGTAGACATTACAATTTAAAAAAAATTACAATTTAAGTATTTTAAAAAGTTGCTATTATAGATAATTAAAACATTGTTTTTATACTCATAAATAATCTTATTTAGTGTTTGCTGTATGTTTCTTTTATAGAGGACCTCAATAATTTGAAGTTTTTCTTTTTATTTAGTGGATAGTATTTTCAATTAATATTTATCTAAATTGTGAATGTGGGCAGGAATGTTCCTTTAAAAGTGGTTATATGTTGAATTTGTTATATGTAGAGTAAGTCTCCTCGATAATGTTGTTGTGAAACCAACATATATATTTACTTTTTTATCAGAGGTGCAATCTCTCAAAGAACATTTAAATTGATATACAATGTTGGTCTTTTGCAAAACATTATTTGATGGAGAGAGAAGAGTTATTGAGGATTGTTAAGTTGGTTGGATTAAATTTAATATAGTATATGATTATTTTTATTTTTTTTTAACTGGGATTAGTGGGGGATATATTATTACTTATAAGTTTTTTTTAGGATTTCTTAATCTTGGAGAAATAAAATAAATGAAAAAAACTACGGCACCTTCCTTATCTTCCGTAATGAATTTAATATCGACATTAAGAAGTTGATCAGAGAATTCGAGAGGATTAAAATAAAAACAATTAGACAAGTATGTCCTGATTATTCAACCAAACCTTTTTGAATCTATCTATCTATCTATCTATCTATCTATCTATATAACGATATATAAATGAAATATGTATGACAAAGGGGAAAAAGTTTTCCTGTGATGCTTATATAGTCAGTGTTGTCATAATATATGGTGACTGGCACCCATCAATCTAGAACACATATAATATTGGTCTTGACATTCCTACGATGTCATGGTAAAGTGGCGCTACCTACCATTACCTTTACATTCTGTACTTATGACTTTTGACACATATCTGTATACGTGAACGACTAGCCTAGAATTATAGCATTTGTGGTGGAATTGTTTGTTCCCACACAAGATCCTGCACGTCGAATCACCGGGGAATTTACGACAGCTTATTAAAACGGCATGGCAAAATTCTTCCGAAACTGGAGCTCGTTGTCCATTACAATAAGGGTCCATCCCATCCTACAACAACTGGTATTTTCAAGCGATCATCAATCTAGGTATGGGCCAGTCTCAGCGTTGATTAACTTCAGTGCTGCGGGAATAAGTCTTCCTCTACAGGACTGTGCAAATGATTTTAAACTCAATGTCTAGACAATACCTATCTACATTTTTTTTTTGCAAAAGATTGAAGACGTAAATTAAACACCTGCTTCTCTATGTTCGGCACAGTGTTAAAAGACTGTAGTGCTGTCTGGTTTACTGACTTGGTATGGCTTCGGACCTTACAGATGTTCAGGAATCACAGACTTGTGCAATGAAGGATGAAAAGTGAAGATTGTGCAACTCCAACCCAAATAGAAAAACAATACACCATGAAGACTGTTTTTGAGAAACTATATAAAATGTTAATTTGAATTTGAATAGAAAATCCTCCCCAATCTTTTGAACAAAATTAGAGGTTTATCCTTCGTGCTTTGTTTAGGATTGGGTTTCTCCTTCCTTCTAAAGTCTACATCAACTCTATACTTCTAACGTCGCCTCCTTGGTTTTTTGAACAGGAGTAGAGGTTTATCCCTTGTTCTCTGTTTAGGAAATGGTTTCCGGTCCTTTCTAAAGTCTGCTTCAACTCTATACTTCTAACGTCTCCTCCTCTGTCTTTTGAACAGGAGTAGAGGTTTATCCCTTGTTCCATGTTTAGGATTGGGTTTCCGCTTCCTTCTAAAGTCTACTTCAACTCTATACTTATAACGTCTCCTCTCCGGTCTTTTGAACAGGAAAAGTTTTATCCGTTGTTCCCTGAGAAAATCTTTTCCGGTCCTTTCTAAAGTCTGCTTCAACTCTATACTTTAATATCTCCTCCCCATTCTGTTCAACAGCAGCAGAGGTTTATCTTTCTCTCCTATTCAGGATTGGGTTTCAATACCTTCTTAAGTCTCCTTCAATTCTATATTTCTAACGTCTCCTCCCGTCTTTTGAACAAAATAGAATTTATCCTTCCCTATGTTTAAGATTTGTTTTCGCTTCCTTCTAAAATCTACTTCAACTCAATACTTTTAATGTCTCCTCCCTGGACTTTTGAACGGGAATAGGGTTTATCCCTTGTTCCCTGTTTAGGATTGGGTTTCTGCTTCCTTCTAAAGTCTACTTCAACTCTATACATTTAACGTCTCCTCCCTGGACTTTTGAACAGGAGTAGGGGTTTATCCCTTGT